GACCCTTGGAAATAAGCATTTAAGTGCCTACCTAAGGACCAAAGCCATTTAAAAGTGTTATGTAAGTGGGCACTTCTTATACTCTTTAGAGAGGCTTTGAAAGAAAACGATTACATGTTACTTCTAGTAGATAGTTCAGGTCACTCGATGACTATTAGTGGAATTGAGTTTGTATGAGACCTGACCTGCAACCAAGGTACAAGACTGAGTGTGTCTCTCTCCAGCTCAGATCTCCCCCCCGTGGCTCCTAACTGCTCCTGGGAGAGTTTATGCTACTCTGGGCTCTTCTCCATGTGTCCTTGATGCCTGCCTCACCTACCCTCCCAACACCTCACTCCACCTCGCGGAACTACTTGCTTTTGCGTTCCTTTTCTGCTGGGAACCCTATGGTTCTTCTCTGTACCTTCCTGAGTTCCCCAGCGCCCTGCACTTGTCTCTCTTACATTGTATTAGCATCGTCTTTTTGTTTGTCTCTCTCCCACGAACAAGACAACATGCCTTTAAGAGCGTAGGTTGAATTTCAACCTCGTCTCTGCCGTGTGTGTTTTGGGCAAAGTTGCTTTTCCTCTCTGAGCCTGAGTTTCTTCATCTGTAAAATGGGCAGAAAACAAGGTGGTTCAACAGGACGCATCATACCTGGCATAGAGTCAGGTCCGATGTTAGCTGTTATTTGCACTTTCAGGGCTGTTTTTTAAAAGCTGATGTTCAGTGAAATGGTAGCTCTACTCTCATGAGTGGTTTTCAAATTTTCTCCTACATCAGAACCCCCTGGGTCCTAACCCCCGCCGTTTTTGATTTCGTGGGTCTGGAGTGGGGCCCAATAATTGGCACATTTGCCTAGTTCTCAGGTGATGCTGATCATTAGTGGGACCACACTGGGCTGGCCACCTGGGACGGGTAGACGTCTGATTAGAGTGACCAAACACTTGGAGTTAAGATAAATTCATACTCGAGGCAACTCTGCTCCCAATGGATGTGGCTGTAGACTATTAATCTATCAATTTATCCATTCAGCCAACATTTCATGAGAATCTACTGTGTCCAGGTCTTCTGTGATTCCCAGACTACCCCAAACAGAGATAAAGTTGGTTGGTTGATTTTTCCATTCCTATCAGCTCAGTCTTGGAAGAAGCTTAAAGAAGGACAGCGCAATTGCAACAATTTAAGCTGGTGTTGTTGCAAAGCATGTAAGTCACCCTTACCAGCTTTTCCTCCCATGTCTCCACACTCAGCGAGCCAGAGGGCAAGCGGCTTGGCCTCTCGGTTCCCTCCCTGAGCAATGGGGTAGCAATAGTGCCTGCATGGTGGAGTTGCTAATGGAGTGCGTCCAGCTTGGTCCTCTCATTTTAGTGTTCTTCATTAAATGGGCTGCTTTCTAGAAGTCAATCAACACACACATTCTTAACAGTTGCTGCAGCCCAACCTCCCATTTAGGCGATCAGGGAAAAGGGCCTGGCCAGGGTTTATAGGACCTCTGTCCTGGAACTCCCCCATGCGGCCAGATTTAGACAAAAACGTCCTTCTTGAGGTTAAATTACGCGAGTAATCCGCTCCTTCAATGGCCATCGTTACCAGAAAGGCAGCTGGGGGCCGTTTTGTCAAGAGGTGACCTTTTGTTGCAGGGGGAGCCATACAGGTGCAAGCCAGTCCCCTCATAATGAAATGTCACAAAGGGAGCAATTAAGTTCAGTTAGGGGCATGTAGCTTTAAATTAGATAATGCATTCTATAAGCTGCGAAGTGTGATAACCTAAGTTGTTATTATTATCATCCTCCTCATTTTGGTGAACTTGCATGGGTTGCCATGTCTGCCAGGGCTCGTTAAAGGGCCAGGGAGTGGGGAGGCTCCCATGAGTGGCTTTCTGGGGAAGGGAAACAGGGGAGAAAGGGTTAAACTCCCCAGAAAACCAATGTATGCGAAGGGCCGGATCCTGACCGGCATTCAGGCCGGCACTAAAGATCTGAATTACAAATGTCCCGAATTTGTTGCTCAGTAAGTGATTTCTTTTCTTCCTAATGGAGCTCGGCCTTTCCAGGGGCCAGGCCACTTTATTTTCATTGAGAGGCTGAACAAGATCTAAACCCCAGGAGAGCCTCATCCCGCTCGCTGTGGGAACTGCCTTCTAAAAAGGTTTGCCCGGGGGCCGGGGAGGATGGGTAACGCAAAGCTCTGCCATCCTACGGGTCTGCAAAGCGCATTCTCTGCGTTTGCTACTTGGGTGAGTTAATCATTGAAATCGCTTTCCTGCTCTCAAAGGAAGGGAGGCTGGCCGATTTCATTATTTAAAGCTGAAGATCAATCTGGGGCTATTTGACAGAAGAAATGACATGCGTCAGGTTCAGCCTGTAGAAATGGGCTCCCTCCCAGGCTCTTTGCGAAGGAGGCAGCAGGACAGGTTTAAAGAACCAGTGGATTCTAGCCTCTTGGAATCTAATTTAAATCTGCACTGTTTGCAAACAACCCAGGACAATCCAGCTACAGTGTGTGTGTGTGTTTAAACCCCCGATAATTTGTTTAAAGAGCAGAAGGTGGGGTTAACAAAAACAGAGTAACTTCACTTTCTTTCTCTTTTTCCTCCTTTTGTGGGCATTTTTTTGGGGGGGAGGGTGCCCCCGTTCCCCAAATGAGGACTTCATGAGGGACCTAAGGGCTGCTGAGAACAATTGTGTTTTTGAATGAATTCTTATAGGATATCAGTCCAAAAAGTCACCGTCAGCTGGAACTGGAAGGCGGCAGGTTTTTTTTTTTTTTTTTTTTGGTTTTTGTGTTCCCAATGGCGGCCATTTCAGCTCAATAGCTCAATTCTTGGGAAAGGCCACTTCTTCTGGACTTTGGAGAAGACACACATCCATGTGCACCTAAAAATAAACAAGTAAACAAGTAAATGAGGACGCAAACGTGAAAACAGCACCTTTGCCCCCTCCCCCAGGGGGTCTCAATTTCTCTTTCGGTTTCAGGCGGCTTTAGGGCTTGGCTGTGGCATTTTGCTGTCCCAATGGCGTTTTGAGGAACTGGAGTCCCTGGGAATCCAGCGCTGGGAGCTCTCCTGGGCTCACCCGGGGAGTTTCTGCTCGTTTTCGCTTGAGTTCAGCACGAGGCATGGAAATGAGTGTTTATTGTAAATGCTCAGGAATGGGCTCTCACCTCAAAAGAAAAAAAAAAAAAAACCCCATAAAACAAAAACCACACACAATTCAAAAGTGGAGTTTTAACTCTCTTCTTAAGCTACAACTGGATAGAGAGTGCCTCACATAAGTCAGCTCCGCTTTAAATGTTCATGCCTTAACAAACAAAAACAAAAACAAACAAGCAAGTGCATTAAAAGATTGCTCTCCTCTTTGGCCAGGAGGATGGGAAACCAGGTACAGAAACTGTTGGCATGCTGTGCAGGGAAATTCTCAGCCAAGTACCGCTTTAAAAAAAATTTTAAGTTTCTTTCTGGGGAGTTGAGGGGTGGCAGGGCTCCTTCTGGGTGAGTGGCTCGGTGTCCCCCAGGGCTATCCCTCATCAGGGCCGAAAGCCCCCGTGCCCAGCGAGGTGAAACTTGCAAACGAGACTGTCACCTTCCTCGTGGACTGCTGGGGCCCAGGCCGCCCCCCTGGTGTTTTGAGGCAAAGAAGTACCCAGCTGCCTGGTTCCCCATAAGCTCCCCAAGCCCTGCGCTGGCCATGGCCCGTGGCTGAGCGAAAGTTGCCCCTCACCAGGGCTTCCCCAAAGGGCTCTTTCCTGATTTCTGCCAAGCTAAGCATTTGGACGCAGAGCGGCCTGAGGTCATTCTCCAGCAGGCGAGTCAGAGACACTGAGTAACCTACAGGGTCGGGCAGGGGGCCTGGGGAGCCAGCTCAGCTGCCAGGGAAACACCTTGGTCTTTATTAGAAACCCGGTGTCCAGCAGGCCCCAGTGGCCGAGGGCCGCTCACCTGATTTTTAGAGGTATTGTCCCCTCCCCCCACCCCTTTTTTCCAAACACGTTTTCTAAATGCTTTGTTGCCAAAGCCATGGTTTTATGTGCCTCAAGTGCAGACTTAGAATATATTCGATGTATTTCGGATCGATGTGTGCTAGATCACGTGTGATGGATTTGGATGAGCCACTGTGTGTGTAAATCTGTTAGTTACAAGCATCTGCGAGTGTGCGAATGTGAATGTGTGCACATTTCTCTATCCCTGTCTGCATCTGTTTCTATGAAGAAACGTGTGCATGTGTCGATCTATTCCTGCCTGCATTTATGTTTACATGCATAAATGTGTGCATCTAGGCTTGTATGGATAAATGTGAGTCGCTATGTATTTGCAGTGGACACGCCCACGCTGCAGGTATTCTCTGGCTGCTGAGTGAGCCCAGCTTTTCAGTGCATTGGAAGCAGCTTGCCCTTCCACCACCTCCTCACGGGGTGGCCCATGACTCACCACCAAGGGTACAAAGGCCCAAGGAAGCACAGCGCCGCCGGGGTTGAGGTGTGGGGAGGGGAAGGTTGTGTGCAATTCATGCTACAGCGCCCCCTGGGGATCTTGCAACTCCACTCCAGCTGAGCCCAGTGTGCTCAGCTCCTTCCCAGCCCTGTTCTCTTCCCCGCTTTCTGCTGGGAGCCCCCCTCAGCATTTCACAGGCATCGGAGTGAACCCGTCTCAGGCTCTGCTCTGGGCAGCCTGGCCCAAAACGGTATTTTTTTTATATATATGCGCATGTGTATGCAAATATACAGGCGCACACTTTTGTATTCATGTGTATCCACATACAAGGAAATCTAGCAGGATCTGGGAGAGAAAACAAGCTGGAGGAAGAACACTGATTTTTTTTTTTTTAACTAGGGAAGATAAAGGTACCCTCACACATAGAATATGAGAGACCTGCTTTAACAGTGGAAAATTAAAAGATGCTTTAGATAAAAATGTATTTTTTTATTAAATCAGAGAAAGATACAATGTACATAATATCTGTCAATCATATGCTACTCTTGAATTACATTTTAATAGACTCATGGTCCTATTTATTCCTCTGTACAAGTATTAAAAAAAACTCAGGTATTTGAATAATCTTCTGTAAATTTTTATTAACTGGGGTTATGGGGAGGGTTTTATCAGCGCACATCCTGAGAACATTAGGAAATTACAGACAGACTTGAGATAAGTGTCAGACAGAACAGATGAAGCAAGCCCCTCAGCCATCTGAGAAACATTAATAATGTAAGATTGCAGGAGACCACATCTTTGTTAGGGACGCTGGATTCAGGATTAAAATGGAGCCCTAGGCGCCCCCTTGTGTTGCAAAATAAACTTGCAACTTCATGTATTGAATTTGTTTTGTTTTGTTTTGCTCTGTAATCCTCGTCCTTGTCACTGAGCCTCAAAAAAGCAATTGTTTTCCCAAATCGGTTCAAGCCCTCTCCAGTCAGTCTTGCCCCTCTCATCAATAACTTTCAAGGACCCTATTTAAAAAACAGCTCTTACTCAGTCCTTTTCTCATTCCGCATACATTCCATTGCAGGTAATTGGCAACCTCCCAGTACAGAGTCCATGTCCTCCCTCCTTGAATGGGAACTTAAACGGATTTTATAGTCTCTCCTCTTCAAACTTAGCGGAGGAGCCTATGTGTTCAATACAAAGCTTCATCCCTCCCAGCGGCCATTTCTTTCCTGCCACTTTCTTGTTTCTGCCATTTTTCATTAACTTACCCAGAATGCATTCCTCCAGCCCAACCCCAACCATCGACTCTGCAGACCTGACCTGTTAACCTCCTGCACCATCCTTGCAATTTTCCACCAGGAAAGATTGGACCAGAGACGTAAATAACACACCTCAATATACAACAGCTCAGGCTCAGTTTGTAGGCAGAATTTCATTTGATGGCCATTAGGAGAGAAAAAATATATACATGGAGTGGGGTGTGGGGAGGACATGGGCAGGGGGGAGGCATCTTGGTGGCAGGAGGACTTGGTGGGAACTGTGGCGATTTGTTTACTTGGATTTGCCAACTGGTCCAATGGATACGGGGTCTGTTTGCACTTGAGCATCCAACATCCGCTTTGGTCCCTGGAGAAAAATATAAAGCAGTATTTCCTAATGAAGAGCTGTAATATCAATTAGCAACAACTGCCATTTATCTAGCCCTTACTCTGCACCCAGTGCTGTGCTCAATAAATACTTCTGACTCACCGGTGGTGGGTAAGAGAAGAGCCTCCCATCGGACACCAGGCTCGATGCCCAGTTACGGCACTTTCTAGCCTGTGGGCAAATAACTGGGGCTTCCGTCAGTCTCTGGGTCTAGAAAATGGGGGTGATATGCCTCATCTGGCAGAATCGTCTGAAGATAAAGCGAGCCCGTCCTGGTGATGCACTTAGAGCCGGGCCCAGGGCCCCCCACAGTGACAGCTCACATCATGCGCCCTCTCTAATAACTTTCTAACCACACGGCCCTGCTTCTTGTTCTTACAAAACCTACCACGTGTGAAACCATGTGATTTGTCTGATGTGTCTCTCCACCCAAATGGAAGCCCTGTGGGTTGCCTGCTGTTTCCCCGGTGCCTAGCAAGGGCCCGGCCCAGGGTAGCTATTAACTGAATGTGGTTGAATACAGGCCATGAGTCAAGTACTATTATTATTTAACGTTTTTCTGTGAGGCTTAATTTACATACAGTAAAATTAACCCCTTTTTGTGCACAGTTCTATGACCTTTGACCAACACAAATAGTCATGCAACCACTACCAAAATCAAAATATGGAGTTCAATCACTTCCAAAAGCCCCCTAGAGCCCTTGGTAAGCAACCGCTCCCCGCAGCCCCTGGCCGTCACAGCCTGTTCTCCGTCCCTAGACTCTCTCCTCTCTCAGGGTGCCATAGCAACAGAATCCCGGTACATGGCTTCTGAGTGTAGCTTCTTTTATGTCATGTAATGAATTTGAGATTTATCCACCTTGTTACACGTATCAGGGGTACAGTTTTGTTGGCCTTGTTACACAGTACGGTAAATACAGTATAGGGTAATATAGTATAATATGGGATAATATATAAAGTATGCATGTCGTGCAGATAGTACATACAGTAAGATATATATAGTAAAGTACTAATAGTATAGAGTAGTATAATATATAGTATATATAGATAGTATTGTGTAATATAATGTAGTATAGACTAGAATAATCTAGGATAGTGTATATTGAATAGCATATATATATATCTATATATATTTATATCTCCAGGATGGTAAATATAACATAGTATATAGGTTATGTAGTACAGTATGGTACACCACAGTATATATCATATACCATATATAACATGTATAGGGTAGCACAGCATAGTATGTGCAGGGGTGGGAAAAAGTGGGTTACAGTTGTTTGTATGGAAAATAATACAATAATTAATAAATAATACAAGAATGTTGTGTTACACATACAACTGTAAACCTACTTTTGCCCACCCCTTTATAGCATATATAGTATACAGTATGGGTAGAGTAGTAGATTATACTATGGGGAAGGATATATAATCTAGTATATACACATATTGTCATGTAATATAATGTAGTAGAGCAGAGCACACAGAGTACAGGCGAGGACAGGATCATATACAGTATAGTATATATGTATATTGAGCACCTACTCTATGTAATGCGCCATGTTAGTCTTTGGGAATATAAGGAGGACCAGCACAACATGGCATATTGAAGGAGAGGCCCTGAGGCTGTGAGCTCAGAGCCTTTCTGGAATGTAACCCTCCCTGCCACCCCGTGCACTGAAGCTTGACAGGTAATGGTTCGAACAGAACTATGGGGAGCGGGGGAAGGAAAAGAAAAAAAAGTTCACAGTTGGTTTGGAAATGATGGTGGAAAGTATGACTAGGATTCACACTCCGCAGGGAGCTAGAGCTGAGCACAGAGACAAACAGTTCAACAAAACCACCCACACGGTGGCCAGCCTTCCTCCAGCCTCCCCTTCTGATGGCCACTCTCCCGTCTTCATTGCCTCTTTGACATTGGAGAAAGGCTATTCACCCCAGACCCTGGGGACTCAACTGTATGCAAGGGATCACCTTCCCTAATAGCCTCCAGTTGTGGCTGTGGACGCTATCTCATGCTGAGGTTCTACCCATACACTCAAGGGTCCAGAGACTAGATGATGCTATGATGACATCCATCATAAAACTGGGCCGTTGGGGTCTGAAACTCCTCACTTCTAATAGGATTTCCAGAGATGCTGTTCTGAAGTCCACACCGGCGCCAAAGGAAGCATCGCCCTCACCTTCCTCTGCCTACTGGATATCTGTGGGGCGGAATAATTACGATGAGCCCGCATAGTCAGGGTGGAGTGCTTCCCACAGCTGCCCCGCCTCTATGGCACCAGGAAGGCAGACCCCAGTTTGCTGGCCCCATGACAGGTGTCCCTGTCATTTTCTCAACTTGCTCTCCTGGCTCAACTCACATTCCCCTGCGTCCTAGGTCTGATCTCACATGTTTCTCTTCCTAGTTTATGCTTGGTCACCTCATCCTCTGAGTAATGACCCTTCAGACATTTCTCATTTGCCAGGATTTACATTCTCTCAAATATAATGAAACATTCCCTAGTGTCCTATTTTACTTCCTCGATCTATGCATGCATGCATCCATCCAACTCATCCACCCAGCCAGCCTCCATCTTTCTTTCCTTCCATCTATCCATCCATCCATCTTTCCATCCATCCGTCCATCCACCCACCCACCCATCCGTCCGTCCATCCATCCATCTTCCTTTCCCTCCCTCCAGCCAGCCTGCCAGCCAACCCCTGTGGAGCGCCTACTGTGTCCTCGCCACAGCGCCGGGGAGGACAGCACATCTGGCCGTGACAGGTACAGTCACTGCCTCCCAAAGCCAAATCAGTCATCTGCCGAGGCGGGCAGGGCAAAGAACCAAATAATCAGAAATAAAGAACACAGAAGACTACTCATTATTTAATGTCTGACCTGCACTCACCCCTGACTGGGCTTTCCTGGAGGGAAGGAACTACGTTTTCGTCACTTCTATACCCAGCGCCCAGGGTCAGGCATAGAACACTTTTCCCTGGTTTAAATTCCTCAAGACTCCCTTTGGCCACAGAAAAACGTCCATGCCTCTTGTCACCCGCTGTCCCTGCCAACATCTTCCCGTCCTTGTTTTCTCCTTCCTCGCCAGACTGACCTTCAGGGTTCTGCTGCCTCCCCCGCACACCGTGGCACCTGCCGTCCCTCTGCCCGGAACACATTCCGCCTTCAGTCGCTTCTCTCCACTCCAAGGCCAGGCCGCGCCCTCCCCCTCGAGCCCCCTTACACATGTAAGGCTCTTTCTTCGCAGACTCAGCACCCCCGCCCCATCAGTCCTGCCCTGTCACTGCCAGACAGCCACACCTCTGTCCACCTTGTTCTCTGTACCTAGCACAGCGTCTAGCAGGCAGCAGGTGCTCAATAAATACTGTTGGACGACGATCCGGCCAGCCCCTAGCCAATCGGTCCCCTCTCTGGAGCCGGAAATCACACCCCTGGCCTGAGAGCCCAGAATGAAATGCTGAGCGATGCACCTACCAGGCCCTTGAAGAAGCCCCCGAGGGACTGCCGCCGCTTCTCGGGTCTCTTTCGGGGCCGGTCCCCGTTCGGCAGCGCACTGGCCTCCGCCCCGGCGGCCTCCGCGCACGCGCACGCGCACGGGGCCGGCTCTTTGGCATCCTGCTTGTTGCTCCTCTGCTTGGGGGTCTCGGCCGCCAGCTTCTTGTCCTTGGAGGGGCCCTCCCTGGCCTTCTGGCCCGCGCCGGCTGGCTCCGGCTCCGGCGGTGCGACGGCCCTCTCCGAGGCGTCGGGGGTCTGCAGCAAGTGCAAACAAAATGCGTCTTAGGGGCTGCAAGACAACTCAACAGCAGGTGAATAGATGGGTTAAAACGGAGGTGTTCAGATGTTCGATGGTGTATCTACGTTTTCACGAGGCCTGGGTGAAATGAAGAAAAAGAAAAAAGAGAAAGAAAAAAAATGCTCGAGTACTTATTACGGTACAAGGTCACAGTAGAGAACGCTTACTTATTCATCGAATCATTCATTAATAATTTCATGCTTCCCCAGCAAACATTCCTCCTCCCACTCCTGGTACTCGCTAGCTTCCCTTGGGGAACCGCTCTTCTCTACTCCTTGGGATTTAGGCAAAGGTATTACCCTCACCCTGGCCAATCAGAACACTGCATGTGATCAGGCTTGCTGTATGTGGTTGGTTCAGGAGGGGCAAACAGATTAAAGATTGAGATAATCTCCGAGTTTTTCTAGACCAACCAAGAGAGAGTCCTGCTCCTTTTCTCTTGGGCTTAAAGATAAGAGATTCCAGAGGCACTGCCATTTCCTGGAAAAATCTGCTCTAGAAGTTAACACAGACGAAAGCTGAGAGATGGGCAGAAAGAGCCCACATACCGATGGCATTGCATGTGCCCCTGGATCTAGCTGTTCCTGAAGCCTACATTGCTTGCTCCAGTTTTGAGAGCGTCTCTGCCCTTGCAACGGCATGTGACTTTTTTCTTGGGGATACCTTCTCTTAATGTCTTTCTTGGTATCTGGTGTGAAACTGTCCTTTTGCTTCATAAAACTGTGATAAAGATGATTGTTTTATTTTTAGTTTTCAACTCACACCCTTTCATGCTAAAAGGAAATGTTTACAATTCTACTTGGTTCCTACAATGTGGAGGGATGAGTTTTTAAAATCCAAAATTCTAGAAAATGCTGGGCACATTACAGATAATGAAAAAAAGAAAGTCTATGAGGAAGTAAAAGCCTTTTCCCACAAGTTACTTGACCTGAAATGCCTATGGGGCCAGGCAGGTAAAATGAAACCGTGACCGAGGCTAGGGATAAGAATAATCCCATGGAGACCTCATTCCCCAGTTGGGAAACCAACATAGGGCCAAGGAAATATTTTTCTAGTGTAAGAAAAACACAAGTTCAAGCACTGCTGTCTCTGATGTCAGGGAGACATTTTGGAGTAGGGAGGACTGTGGTGAACTGAATGTCACATGCCCTGTCTAAATAGTTGCTCAGACCCAGCCGAGAGATGCTATGTAGGATTACAGCCCTGTGTTGTGTTGTCAGACCTGTTTTGTTTTGTTTTTTAAATCAATGGAAACTTAAAATTGAATTTTTTAAAATGCAAAATGCGTCCATTCTTAAATACTGGCTTCTAAAATTTTAAAGCCCTATTCATGGCAAACAACCACAGCACAAGTTACCCCTGTGGAATACGTTTGACCTACTGGATATACATTTTTACAATCTCTGATTCACACAGTTAAGTACTGTCCCCAGGGCCAGAAATTCTAAGAAAAGTGGCAGTTTGACTGAGAAGGCAGCAAGCAGAGAACTGCTATTCACACCTGTGGATTAAGCACACCCCTTAAAAAGAAACGAGAAGACAGAGACGGTTCCCAGTCCCGAGGTCCCTGCAGCCCGCAGCCCCCGCTTGGGGGAGAATTCCTCATGGGAAGCATCGGCCAGCCAGTGCACCAGAGACGCTGTTCCGCAGCCTCTCGTTGTGAATATTTCTGCCGGGTCCCAGCTGCCTAAGTTGTAGCAAATGCTGACATATGGATATTCAAGTACAACCGACAGCCCTGAGCAGATACTCGCCTCCCAAAGAGCGAGACTCCCATCCCAATGCTCTTCAGCTGGGCCAGAAACCAGTGACCCTGTTCAAACAGCTCGTTAACTGCTCTGGTTGCGTGGAAGATTTTAAGATGCAATGAGTTGCTGAGAGCTTAGCATCTGGAGTCAGAGGGACCTCGTTCTAGCGCTGTTGCATCCTTCTGTGTGGCCTGGGATAAACTTCCATCTCTCAGCTTCCTCATCGGTATGAGGGTGATTAAAGAGCTCATACCTCAAGGTGCTGGGAGGACGGACGGAAAAACCTATACGACACTCTGTCGGGCCCACGTGGAAGGCCAAACATCAGAGGACCCATCGTCCAGGTTGCTCTGGGAGCAAGAGGGTTCCGGGACATGGAACTTACAAATTTAAAACCAGGAAAGTCCCGGGCACACGGGTCACCCTGGTTTAATATCGCTGGAGGTGACTCTTCTGGAGTGACTGTGTGGACCCGTGTGCCGAGTACAGATTGGGACACTCAGGGAGTCCTTGTTGAATCGAGCCCCCTTGTGACTAAAGGACTTAAAGGACAGGGGGGAGTTTTCCACATGGAGAGGAGGGAGCTCTGTACTAAGAAATAGCCGAGGAGCTCTGGCTTGTCCACGCCTGTATCTGCAGAGCCCGAGGTAGTGCCGGACGGACGGTAGGCGTGCAACCCAGAGACGTTCAACGACTTGGCGTGGTCGAACGCTACGTTGGAAATGAGGCTGGAAAGAACCGAGAGTATGCCAGCTAAACCCACCACCGAACCAAGTTAACAGGTCACTTACTTGGTAGCTGGAGTCTTTCCCATTTATTTCTTCTGAGTGGGTGGTCCCGCCATCCCCTTTCACTGACTAAAATAACAAACAGACAATGGCCTTTCAGCTGCCATAGGCACAGCAAAATGAAGAACGCAAAGGAAGTTCTGATATGGGCGGCCGTAGTCATTCATTGTTGAGATTCTCGTTATGACAAATGGAAGACCAAGTGGAAATGGATCGTCTACGAGACAGACAGTTTCCACGCAGTCTGCACCCAGAGTCTAATTGAATTCAAGTGTTGGCCTCCCAAAATAACAACAACAACAAAAGTCTTAAACTCTGGGGTTACGTAATTCTGGGATAAATAAATGGTGATGAAAATACTGATGTTGGAAGCAGGAGGTGTTTGAACATACTGAATGAATGGATCAATGAACAAACAGGTGGTCAAAAGGGACAAACATCTGGTTATAAGATAAATAAATACCAAGCGTCCAGTTATAAGATAAATAAGTATCAGGAATGTAATGCACAACGTGATGACTAGCTACCAATTGCTGTATAATAAATGGGAAAGTTGTTATAAAAGTCCTAAGAATTCTCATGACAAGAAGAACCATTTTTCTCCCCCTTATTTCTTTTTATTGTACCTGCACCAGATGATGGGTGTTAGCTAAACTTAGTGTGAGATCATTTCACAATATATGTAAGTCACACCTTTATGCTGTATACCTGAGACTCATACAGTTACATCTCAATAAAACTGGAAAAAATACAAATAAAATAGATGAACAAACAACTACACAATTGGTAGCCTTCTACTGGTGACATTCAGTGGCCCTTCCTTCCTCCTTCATTCCTTCTCTTCTCCCTCCCTCCTTCGTTTTCACTCTCTCTCCCTTCCTCCCTCTGGGCAGCGCTCTCTTTCAGAGAAAAGCTAGGCTAGTGCATGCTGGGATCTGTATTAAAAGGACAATAACCACAGGAACTTATTTTTTCCAGCTGTCAGAAATAACAGAGTACCTGTGTAAAGAGACTGAAATTCTTTCAAAGAGCCATCCTTTAAAGAACAGCCTGGAGACTGAAGTAACTGCAGGGATCTTCCAATGTGATACCAAGCAACTTTTTTCATGGGGTTAATCTTTGTTCCCGGGCGTCAGAGGAGGAAGCAGGTCAGGACGTCCAGCCTGCTGTGTGTGGATGGGGCCAGGTTGTGACATCTAAGCCTTCCATATTAATAACGCTATTTTCTAATCTTTGGTTGTGTCATGCATTCCTAGAGCATGATATTCTGAGGAATATTTGAACCATCTCCAATATGTATGCCTCTTAGATATTTAAAATTCTAGTAGAGATGTTTGGTGGTCAGTTCACATTTTCATGGAAGGAATGAAAATGTATTTTGATTTATGTGTCAACTTGACTGGGCCATGGGGTGCTCAGTATTCTGTTACATGTTATTTCTGGGGGTGTCTGTGAGGGTGTCTCTGGATGAGATTAACATTTTAATTGGTAGACTGAGTAAAGCAGATTGTCCTCCTCAATGTGGATGAGCCTTACCCAATTTGCTGCAGGCCTGGATAGAATAAAAGGCTGAGCATGAAAAAAACAAAAGAAAAAAAAGAAAGACAGAAAGAAAGACAGACAGAAAGAAAAAAAGAAAGAAAATGTATTTTGACAGAGATCTAATTCAGCCAAAATTGAGATTCATAAGACGTGAGATGCCATTTTAATTTAGTGCGGGTACATCGGCAACAATGTTCACTAGATCAGCCTCATTACAACAAATCTAGGGAACAGGACCTGCTAGAAATTTCCAGGATAAACAAAGGCTCTGAGTCCAGACTTTCTGTTTTCCTGAGATGCTCACTGGAAATGAAATTGGACAATGCAGATGAAATTACATAGCGGAGGTAAATCTCATTCGAGCGACAAGTACCTTCAGAACACTGCACCCAAGCTTCACGTCAGTCATGAATTAATTCCTCTCTTTTGCCTTGTAATTTCAAGGAAGTGTAATGTTTGGGAATTTCAGGTCAGCCCAAGACATAAAAATGATGTTTGCACAGAAAACATTACTAAGAGAACGACCAAAATGGAGCTATGGTGGTTCTGTCTCCATTTACTCTCAAAGAAAACCAGCCCCCAGGAGCACAGGAAGCAGAAATAACATATGAGAACAGGGTGAGTTTTACAATCAACAAGAACTTGAGCCTGGCTTTGCCAGTTAGCGACTCTGTGACCTTGGGCAGATGGCTTAAACCCGAGTCTTCGCGCCCCCTGTGCAGCGGGGCAGGGGGAATGTTTGTTTCACCGGGGTTTTTATATTAGTGAGCTGATACATGCACTGTGCTAGCCATGCCATTTGCATGCAGTAAATAAGTGGTAGCTATTATTATTATGACTATTAATAACAGAGGAGTGCAGACTTCCCTGTAAGAGTAGAAAGGAATACAAGGTCCTGGCGAAGACAGAAATTGCCCAAACACATGCTGCTTTCATTGGAGAGCAGCTTAATATTCATATTTAATGCTCAGGGAAGAATTTGAGATCAAGAACTTTGGCTAGAAAACTGAGTTTTGTTGTTGTTGTTTTATAATTACCATTACAAACCGCCATCTTTGTTCACCTCCAGATAGTAAATTCCAACAGGTTTTCTTAGACTTTTTAGATTGCATGTAATCAGCAAAAAACTCTGATTTCATGGCTGTCTCCTCATCTGGGCCTTTGATTTGCTCCATATTGAAACCCACCATCTTTCTTAGCTAATAGCGTTTCTTACAAAACCAGTGGTCTAAGGAGACTGGATGAGGATTAAACGAAACAATGTATGTGACACTAGTTTGGAGGAAGAAAGTACTTTCCCAGTACAAGGTGTTATTAATATTGACAAATGATAAATCTGTATCTCCATCTTTCTATCTAATGCCTCTGTGAGTTCATCTGCCTACCTGCATTGTGGGTACATGAATACAATTCTCTACCCACTCACTTTATAAAAATACACTAACGCTTCAACTACCCAATTTCTTGACATACAGCTGAATTAATGCATAGAGGAATCTTTTTTTATTTTGGGCATGACAGATGTCTGAGCTGTTCCTTGCAATTATTTTGAAAATCTGTAGGAGCCCATAGGGTTTTTGTGGAGTGCTAGAATATCTACCTGAGCCGAATGTAATGAAATAACTCTATTTTCTTTTCCCTGAAATAAAATTATTTGAAAAAATGATATTCTTCCTATTTTTACTTTTATGAGGTTAATTCCTGGAAAGAAAAAGCTCTCTTTTGAAATGAACTGGGCAGTGTATTTATTAAAAATAAACACTCAGCCCAGAGTCACTTTGTCATGGGATGGTAAACACAATGTCTGAAGGAAACTGGAGGGAGGCAAAGGCTAGAAGGTAGAAAATCAATGGTCTGATGAATGGAGACACAGATTACAAAACAAGGGGGATGCATTTGAAATTGAGTTTTCTCCTCCACTAAATCAATGATTTTTAAAAAAACTATATTTTTCAACAATACCTAAAAGTGGTTGAAACATTCCCTTATTTTTGCTCCCCCCCCCAAAAAAAAAGCCCACAGTGATGGACCAGATACTGTCTCTATTTTCAAGCCCTTAGAACAATTTTTTTTCTTCTTCTTCCTGCATAAATACGAAGACTTTAGATTAGTTTGGAAGGCATGAAATGTAACCTGAAAGTCTTTCCTCCAGTTAATTGCTGGAGCTGACTTCCGGGAGTCTACACGAATGGATATTAACACAGATACATAAAAGCAGGGGTACAGGGGTATCCATGCAGGTGAGTGGAGCAGCTGAGGTCTTGTGTGCAAGACACATGGTGCATGCTCACTGAATAGGGCAGAGAATTATACATAAATGTCTGGTTTACTCATTAGGCTTTATTTTCCATGAGGACAGGAACCACATCTGCACCTGTTGTATCACTACTGCCTGGAATAAAGTGGGTGCTCAATAATGATTTGTTCAATAAGGGAATGAATGAAATGCAACAGGTTGGAAACAAAGCAACTGTCCATCAGTAGAGCAATGGCTAGTCAGAGTACGATAAATCTGGATAATGTGATTCAATGGAGTTGTAAAGAATGAGGTGGCTCTGTAGCAGGGATTGCCAACTCCAGTACCCACAAGGGAGAGGACCAGGGGCATCAATGAGTGAGCTAGGCAGGTGTGACAACAGGGAGCAGTGGGGATTGTGGTAAATGGCAAAACCCAAGTCTTTTGTGGATTTGAATTAATCACAATAGTAATATAATGTTATAATCAAAACAAAACAGAACGCATGACAAGGATCATCAGGCTATGTGGAATTTTAGGGGAAATCCCAACAATCATGGGGGCTTTGGTGTTTAAACATTAAAAGGAACACTGTTCAACACCTCCCCCAACACCACCAAAAAAATAAATAAATAAAAGGAACAATGTTCAAACTCCCAATTGCTGCCCTTTTATTGGGCAGTAAGAACAGGGGCGTTGTGAGACCTGACTCTGTGAATGCACTGACGTCTGCTTCGGAAGAAATGTGTCCTCTTCTACCTCGATCCCCAGCCTGTGGACAGTTACTTCCAAAGGACTTTGGTTTGCAGTTTTGTTTCCCTAACCATTCAGATTTACCCAGTTTCTACTGCTAGAAAATACCACCGAGCAACACCTGGTAGATAGCTCTGGACGGTGGATTTAAGCAATGTGGGGCTCATTAGAATCTAAGACTTTGGTTTGAATGGATGGTTTAAATATCTTTCATGATTTATTTGGATTCTCTTGTATTTTCCTCGCTTTTACATGAAAAGTATGTTGTTTATTTAAAAGAGAAAGTCTTTCTGTTATTGTATCTCTCAACCCTTCTCAAAAACAGGATCGCTGGATCACATTCAGGGCTATCATGAGCTATTTGGGGACCCCATTTGTAATGCAGATGGGTTTCCAGAATCAGACCCAGTGTTGTTTTCTTTCCTGCCATTGTGCAAACGCTGGCTTAAAAATCTCAAATCCTGATTCCCATTTTCAGCGCCAGATTGTGGAGTAAATGGCCAGGAATATAGATGGGGTTCCAGCCACACAGGCCACCCACTCCTTACCCTACGCATCTTACTCCATGGGAACCCAGGCACAAAAGAAGAGGATGCCTGTCAACGATTTCTCACAGAGTTATTTGTAATATGCCTCAAACCCCACTGGCCAGGGTGTTGGTTTGTGTTGTTTTGTGGACTAGGAAGAATTCCTTAACAGGTGGAGTCTGTGCAATTAGAGTTGCTATCTCAGAGGATTAAATTCCCAAATACCCCTGAAAATAAAGGCATACTATAATGAAATTTTTGTTTTTTATTAAAAGAGAATTAAACCCATGACCTTTTATATGCATTTTTGGTAAGGCCATATTACCCTGAATGTGCCGATCTTGTCATACACATTTTTGTGTTTCATCTTCTGACGGATTTGGGTTTCAGTTCATTATATTATTTAAGTTCTTGGATCTTTAGATAATTAATGTGCGTAACTCTTCATAGACACCATAAGATGTCTTCCCACATTCTTTTCATTCTACATAAACTAAAACCATGGCAAATTCACCCACTAAGTTATAATATTCATTATTAGAAAGTTAAGTTCTCATTTTCTTATTTCAATTACCTAAAAGTCAGCTTTGTCCAAGTTTGTGGCACTTACACGTCACCTTTAGAATTTTTCCAACATCAATAAATAACTTCGACTCTGTATTACTTAATTCTTTAAAAATGTCTATGTTCTTTTTGTCAATAAATGTATTTTCAAAGGGAACTGCATACAATTGCCAGGATAAGAAAAGCAGTATCATTTGCTATAAGCAGGAGGATCCTTTAAAAAGACAGAAAGAAAAGTAAGCAACTATATTAACTTGTAGGTGGATACTGTTTTCTGCCCACTCAGGACCTGAGGCCAATTTCTTCTTTGTTTAAAAAATGAATTAGTAGAGGTTAATGAAAGGTTAAGAAATATTAGCAATTGACTGAGATTTTCTCTATGATTGAATCCAAAGCATAAAAGGGCATTTTTTCACTGCACAATTCATATGCATGAATACCACCTACAACTATATCTCATGCATGCGTGACGTGGGTCTTTACTCTTGGAAGCTGTGCCAGGTTTTTCTGTTTTTCTGTACCGGAAGCAAATGGCTTACCATTTGTCTGAGAAACGCCATCAGGGAGGCTCTCGGTGGTTTGCGTTCTTCTCTTTTGAGCTTTACTTCCACGGGTTCAGGGCTGGGCTCTCCGTCTTCATTGAGATCCACCGTTTGTAAGGCTGAGTCTACTTCCTCGGACTTTATAGCCTCTACTGGTGATTCACACACCACCTGGATCATGTTGCCAGGTAATAAGACAGTGAAAAAAAGAACATTCCCCCCAACCGTGTTTTATAAAGTGGGGTCCTGGTTGCCCCTTTGTCCACCTAGTGGTGACAGGTTGGAATCTATGACCATTTCTACGGAGGCACATCCACATCTTCAAGAAGCAGTGCTTGTGTTGTGTAAGGTGCTCTCACGGCCAACTTCTGAACAATTGCCAAATAGGCTGACTTGGAGGCAAAATCCCTGCCCCATGAAAGTACAAGGCTTAGACAGGAAGTCCCATTTGGGGATTGCCCCTCAAAGCATGCTCACAACCCCTCCCATCTAGAAGGCCCGCCCCTATGGTCTGCCATGAAGGTAAATTACACCTGGCCTGCGTACAGGTCAGGGTAATCATTCCCTTAGGAGGCCAGCTTGCGAGAAGGTAACCATGACAACTTCCATTCCACATCCTAGGCCCCCGAAACTGTGGAGAGACTGTCCTCCATGCAGAAAGGAGAATGTGAAAGCCGCTCCATGAACAGATTCCCTGTTAACTCATTTCCCACCGCACCCCAAACCAGTCATTTGCCCTTCTTGCTTGACCGAAGGTCATGCTCTCAGAAGGGAAATGAATTTGGCACGACAACACTGGTTAAGTTGCTACGGCCTCCAGCGAAGTGTCCAGTGAGCTCAGTGTCCCCTGAACATCTGTGGTGGGAAAGAGGGGCCAGCCGTGGGGCAAAGCCTGAGGCCCGATTCGCCTGCACTCTGATCTCAACATGCATTCTTTTGCATGGCCTCACATCGGGCCCAGTTTCTGCAACAGCTTCGGTCCCTGCAATGGGACAGTGCTCACTGGCCTGGAGAGGGTTTTATACTTTTTTGTTTCTTTGTTTACTGGTGAACCACTGCCAAATCCATCCCTGAATCTGTCTGGGTATGGCCTCCAAGAAGAAAGGATTTTACATTTTTAAAGGGTTGTAAACATTTTTTTTTTTTAAAGGTGAAAACCAGCCAATAGAGATTGCATGTGGCCTGAGAAGTCTAAAATATCGACTATCTGGCTCCTGACATGACTGGCTTGTTGTTCCCTGCCTTGGAGGGGTGCGCTCTTTGCATTTGTTTTCCCAGCTGCCAGACCCCAGCTTCCTCAGCCTCTTGTCCTTGCTGTCAGGGAGCAGGGGAAGGGAGCTGACCTGTCTCCAAAAGCACAGTGTGCTTGTGGGGAAACCACTTTCTTGTCCTTTCTTGTCAATTCAGAATGCACCATTGGTTTGTAAATGACCCAAATGATGCAACTGAGAAGGACTGTTGATTGTCAGCAGAAGCAGGCAGGTGCCTGCCTATCAACCAATCAGCATGCGAGGATGCCCTGAAATTAGGCAATGAGATTGCAGCTGTCTCTGCCCACCTTTTGTTTCTTAAGATACTGAAACAACTTCTAGCATTTTCGCTTTGTAGACAAAGAGCTAGGCTGGGGGGTTACAGACTCGAAAGTCCCCAGGAGCCAAAAAGCTGGCCTTCAGCCGGTGACCTCAGCACGGACAGACCAGACAGAAGGCAAAAAGGAGAGGTGGGCGCTATACTGAACCAAGGTCAAGTCGCGCCACCTAAAAGTACTCAAACAATCACAGCACTGGGCCAGCCAAAAAAGGCTGTCCCCGAGGAGGCTGCGCTGTGGGGTCTGTGACCTGGTTCTGGCTTTAGGGCAGACCTCAGGCTCGCACTGGAGACACATGAGAGACTGGGAGTACCAGTCAGACGTGGACAGGGATTTCCACATGTAGGCCTGGTTTAATTCAGCTGCATTTCTGAAAAATAAGCTTCAGCCACAAGGCCTCTGAGATGAGCCTGATATGCAGGCAGCTGACATGGCGATTAGGAGCGTAGCTTGTAGCACCAGCCTGCCTGAGTCTAAACTCAATTCTGTCCCCCACAGGGACTCTAAATAAGCCAACGTCCCCATTCAATGACGCTGTGCTTTTTCAATGGGAACAGCGTGTACATCAGAAAATTGTTTTCAGAATCAAATCAGGCAATGCAGGTGAAGTTCCTAGAACAGTGCCTGGTACACGGTAAACTCTCAGTTAATGCTACTGCTTGTTACTTGCACTGTTATGAGAGCTACTCGCTCCATGGCATCATCCAGCACGCAAGTGCACTGTTTAGAGATGATCCTAACATCTGCCTGTTACTGTGCCTGATAGTGTGCAAGGTAGTTTTAATATACAACTTCAATAAATAGTTTCAGAGATAAAAGCAGGTAACATTATCTCCATCTATGGACCAAGAATCTGAATGGTTGAATGACCTGGCCAAAGCCACACCATGGGTAAGTAGCCATTTTAATGAGGATGAAGTTGTTTACCACTAACTGAATGTCTAATAGTGACTTGATCAATAATGATATGGAGCAAAAAGTTTCAAAGTTGGAAGTTCTGGAATTGGTTTAGTGGCTCCACACTTTCTTTAGGAACCTGGGTTCTTTCTATCCTTTGGCTCTGCCATCCTTGGCATGCTGGATTTTTATCCTTTTAGTTGCTACCTCATGGATATAAAGTAGCTGCCACAGGCCCAGGTATCACATCCTCCACCCAATGTCCTAAGAAAGAAGGAAGATCACAGCAAAAGATTTGCTCCAGGCCCTGGAAAAAGTTGTTCCTCAGTAGATTGAGTGCTGGCCTGTGAACCAAAGGGTTGCTGGTTTGATTCCCAGTCAGGGCACATGCCTGGGTTGCGGGCCAGGTCCTCAGTAGGGGGCATGTGAGAGGCAACCTTACATTGATGTTTCTCTCTCTTTCTCCCTCCCTTTCTTTCCCTTTCTCTAAAAATAAATAAATTATATATATATTTATATATATATATTTTTTTCTTTTTAAAGATTTGCTGCAAATGAACTTCTGTGCTTTAATCCCCTACCTCAGGGTACATTTCATTGGCCAAAAGTAGGTTACATTTTTACTCCTAGACTAATACTGGAGAAGAATATGGAATTATTGGCTTAGACTAATCACGATCAAATATTGGGGTGGGAGGGTAGGTAGTACTTGCCAACCTTGCCTAAAATCAAAGAAAGATGCAGAAATGAGAAATAGCCCTTAGGTAAATACGAACAGTCTGACTCACTGTCTCTGGGTTCAGAAATATTCTAGAATTATTCTATCTTTGAAGCAGCACATTCTTTTCTGTGTGTGCAAAGGCCTGGAGGGAAAATTACTCACCTAATAAAATGATCCAATTGTATGGCAATACCTTCACAAATCAACTTTATCTGATTGTCATTGATTCTGGTACTGAGTCTTTCCTCAAGTTGACAGGTGTCAACTCATACATCCTAGACCAGAGTCCATTCTTAAAAAAGACAAAGGACTCCCAGGAAGTTGGCTTTTAGCAGCCAAGGAAAATCCAGTGTGGAAACCCAGAAGGATCTGAGCTAAATTAGGAGCTTATTTGCATGTAGAGACATAAGAATTTCATTTTTATTTGGCTAGTTCTTTATTTCCTTCCAGGCCATGGCTTTGGAAAAAGTTGTTCCTTATTTAGAATATATGATTATATTTGCATGTTTTAATGGACATAATTAAAATCAGATTTGTGCTCTCATTTAGGATTAAATCCCCCTTGCTTCATGTCAGTAGGGGATATTAGATGTTGATAATGATACGTATTTTGGCAAAATATATTTTTACTTTTTGCCTCAAATATTATTCCACGCTTACTCTTAAAATTTATTTGGTTTGTACAGTTTTTACTAGAGCTGTGAGTTTTGGAAACTGACTTATAGTCAGATCAATTTCCTCCACTTAAACTTCACGTACAACATTGGTATTAAAAGTTTTTATTTTATAATCTGTTTTAGATTCTTTCTGATTTAATTCATAACACAATTATTTGATTACAAAGACCTTATAGAGATTTTATTTTTTTACATAGTCACTATTCTCCCTCATTCCATTCACAGCACCGAGTTTTGCTTTGGGGGAAACAAGCTTCCCTAACTTGAAGACTATATATTTTGAATGAAGTCAGTTGAGCAGGTCTAAGCCAATCAACATAGTCTAGCTCCTTGACCACATGGATTCAGGGGTGGCAGCAAGGGACAAAATGCATTATTTTCCTGACTATTCACTCTCTATTCCTGTAAAGGAATTAAACATCTGTGTGCACTGCTGTGTGACTTGCTTTGGCAAATGGAACGTGAGTAGACAAGGTGGAAACCACAACTGAATGAAAGTTTTTGGAGCTGTTTCAAGGTTCACCCAGGGCACCATTTTCTCTCTGCCATTACTACTGTCATGCCATTATTACTGCCATTTACAGCTGACTTGCGCCATGAGTGAGGGGGAAAAAAGCATCTTTGCTGTCGAAAGCCAGTGAAACTTGGGGCTTGCTTGATACTGCAGCATAACCTGGCAATAGCTGACTAATAAAGAATGGGAACCCTTCTGAGCCAATGAAAGGGAACCAATTCAGGATGCAGAGGGCTGCTACTCGAGCAATCTCTCCTTTACTCTGCACGGCGTGATATGATGTTGGAAACCTGAAACCGTAGCCAGTCTAGGAAGGCTGGGCCAAGGGAGAGCCCTGAGTGAAAATTTATTTGAAATGAATTTTAATTCCTAGTGATCATGGCCAATAAATACCATTTTCTTTTTTAATACAGGTTGAGGGGTTTTTTTCCCCCCTACTTGAAACTGAGCGGTTTTCCACTTGAGAAGTTACTTACTAAGAGAAATAATCAACGGAAACTTGTTTCCTTGTTTTAGTAGGTCATTGGGAAGAAAAGATGTTTTTCCCTTTAGTTAACTAATTCAATTAACTAACCGCCTACAACTGAAAGATTCAACAACTTCTGCGGTCAGACAGGTAGATTTTACTTCTGAAAATTTTATTTCAAGTGTCACGAGATACTATTCTTCATTTGATTTTTGAACCATTGAAAAATGTAAAATCCATTCTTACTTAGCTCATGAGCCATACAAACAGGTGATGTGTGGCAGCTGGTCCAGGAGCTGTGATTTGCCGACCCCCGAACTACTGAGTCCTTCCTTCCTATGCTTTGGCACTGAGGCATGGACACTATTATATGCACTATTCACTTAATTCTCACAAGAACCTCAGGGGTTAGTAAAATTATTGTAGCCATTTAAGAGATGAGTAAACCGAGGCAGAAGAGGAGGCACAGCCTGGGCTTGATGGGGCTGAGATCACAACTTTTTGGCCTCATTCCCTCCAATAGGCTGTTAGAAGAGGAAATGTTGAAGATTAAAGATAATAGCATTATTTCTGGGGCCAAGCAACTTAAAGCAATTTTTATAATGCTGCTTTATTTTCTTGAGAAAACATTTTGCCTTCTTTCATTTCTCTAGCAGCTTTTGTGTTTATCTTTGGTATCAATAATTTAATTCTTGTTTCTGTTTCTGCCTTACATGCCACCCTGGACATTTGCCCATTAGAAATTAACACTGCATCGCAGTGTGCGAGCTGTTAAGAGACCCAGGCGGCAGGCAACTACAAACGTCCAGAGAAGTTTCTCTGCAAAAGCCTTGGGACCACGAAGCTAACAGGTGCTCCAGGTTTAACCCACAGCTTTTAATGTGAAGTTTGTGGGAAGAAAGTTCACGGAACTCCCCCTTGCAGGTCACCATAATGGTGACTCTCTAGATACAGCCAGGGAATTCATGAGAATTTTGTGGAATTATGAGAGATGTGAGTTTTGCTGAGCTATGAAGCTTGGAGGGAGGGAGGGAGAGAGGGAGGGAAGGGCAGAAGGTGGGAGAGAGAGAAGCAAAGGAAAGCAAAAGAAGGAAGGAAGAAAGGGAGAGAAGGCTTGAGGGAAGGACGAAGAAGGGAGGGAGGAGCGATGGAAAAACAGCAAAACCAATGAAGCAGATTTCAAAGATCTTCATCTTAACAAGAATTAAAGCATAGCCATTCTAATTTCCATTCCACATCACAGACAACATTTCTGGAACGTACTTGGATTTCATTCAACATCTGTTCAGTTCTAGTTACTAAGTGAAAACGAAAACACAAGCCCTATCCATGGCAAGCAAACAAGAAACACCTAGAAAGAGTGGGATATATTTCGCTTTGGCAAAAACGATAGTGATCAGTTTCTGTCTTGAGGACCTGTAGATTCACTTATCCCCACGTATAAGATATCCCTAGGTCTGCCACTTCTTTCAGAGCCGAGAGCTGCTGTTTCGGTCGGAAACACATGAGGCCAATTTATTCACTCCCTGGAAGATGTTCTGGAAAGATACATTTTTGTGGCATCTCATTTGGAGCTGTCTCCTTCAGACATGAGTGCACTGTCTTGAGAACTTTGACCATCACTCGAGAAGATGAAGGTCCAAAAGACAGTGAGGCTTTAACTTGCGTCTCTCAGGTGTAGACTCATGGACCAACAGCCTGAGCATCTATTGCAGCAAGATGCTCTCAAGCCTGGGGCAACTACCTGTCCTGGGGACCACCCACAGTTAGTAGAGAACCTGGGTTGTCATGCACATACAGATGAAAGAAGCAATCAGAGCAGAATGAAGCAGAGGGTGCAGCATCCTTGTCTCTGGAGGAAGTATAAAGATGTTCTTGTGTTTAGTAGACTCTTTCAGCCCCCAAAGGACAAAGAATTATAAGAGTGTGCGCACTAATTTTGCATCTAGTTTGCACCGAGTCAGTGGGCATCACAAATATCCATGTGAAGTCATTCCCCAGGGGTCCCTAACCCCGTGAAAGGGTGAAAGAGTCTACAGCAGATGAATCACCCTGGGAGCATGCAAGAGCCAGGACTCCGGGCTGAGATGCAACATGCAGAAGATGAGGATGAGATCAGTCTGTCATTTAATGTGTCACTTACATTCTCCTCTGCACCTGTGGGGACTGAATCCTCTTTAATTGACTAAAGGGAAGACAAAAACAAAAGCGAGAGTCAGGATGTTCCAGAAATCAGAGCGAACAGCCCCCTGGTGCAGTTTCCGGGTGCTGCTGATGTGCGCCTTGTTCCGAAAAGAACCTGAATCCAGGAGCCTTACACAAATGTAAACAGTAGAGCAGGATCATATATATTATGCATTTTTAGGGGCTACAATGGGAAATTAAACATCCAGAGGCAGCCAGGATACAGATGGCTCAAGGGGAGGGGCCATGACAGAAAACACAAACCATAATCCGGGCTGTGAAAAACACGTTTACCATGTTTATCTAGACATTTACTCGTAGCTGAGGGGACTGTGAGTGCTCACGCAACACTTGGGCCCTGTTAGGTAAGAACAAATGAGCTGCTCAGGAAAATTCTGGTAGCAGGACCAGAGACATCCGTCCCATGGTCCTCGGAGAGCAAGCGGGCGCTATGTAATGGGCGGGGCCCTCAGCCTCCTGCTGACATAACCCAGGCCAGCATCAGAGGCTGCTTCTTACATCAGCCCTCAGTTGGGGCCAAGTTCATCCTGTCGAGGCTCAGTTCGGTTAAAGCACTTCTGTGGAGGGGCAGCGCTCCAGGGTCCGACATGTCCAAGTTCAAATGCTGTTACGGACCCTGTCCCGCCCCGAAGAGGAGAGGAATGACCCCAACTGTGTCAAAGGCTGAAGCCACAATCATCACAGCAGTTCCAAGCTCCAGCCCTGGGGGTCATCTCTGCATCTATCCTGCAGCCATTCTTAAACTTTGTTTTGGGCGGGGGGTGCTGTTTACAGATCATTTTGAGATTCCCTGGATCTGGACTGTCTTCCCAGAAAAGAAACATGAACAAAATATTTCGCAATTTATTTCAGGGTGTTCATAGGCTCTCGTATCTCCTCTCTTGGATTCCAGGTTAAGAACTTTCCCCCTATGTTTATTTAGTTCCAAGTTGTGCTTTTATCTTTCCTTCAAAACATTCAATGGGAGGGGAGGAAGGGAATTGACATTTAAAATACATCTTTTACCCTTGGCGCTTTGTATACATGATCTCACTGTGTATTCATTATCTTAATACTTCATGCAGCCCCAAGTGGTAGGTGTGGCGACCCTCATTTACTCATCGCAAAATGGAGGCACAGAGAGGTAAAGTCACTTGTCCAAGGCGGTACAGCTCAAAAGTGGTGGAAGTGGTTCTTAGGACCAAGTTTTCCTTCTGCCATAATAACTTCCAGGGTCACAAACACATGTTTTTGGCGGGGGGGCATGTGACTGTGTGAGCTTCTTTCTCCATTACCAGATTTGCTCTCTCTCTAGAGGAGATCTTTACTGTCGATCATTTATTTTCATTGATCTTCTCATACTGAAGCTTACTCGGGTACAAACGTGCCCCTGAAAAGGAGGGTGGGTTTTCTGGAAGCTTCTGATTGTCAAGAAATCCTAGAACATTCCGAAGTGTAGCTTTCTTGGAATTAGAACCATTCTCCTGGAGACCAGTTGCATGCTATTTAATATTATGAACAGGTAAAGAACGAGACAATATTATGTAAGCCAGGCCTCCTCAAACTTGATCTGCAAAAGTTTCAAGAGTCAATAGACTGTCTACTGTAGGCTGAGAAAATCCTCCCACTGATTCAGAATAGCGGTTTTTAGTCTTTCACACCTCCCTCCTGTCCCAGTTGGTTGTAATAGGACTCGTGTGTGTCTTTGCTTTCCTGTGTCTGGAAAAGTCCTGGCCACCGATTGCTAACCATATTCCTGATGACCCTGGGGACCTGGGGTCAGTGACAGCAAGAAGCAGAAGGGGCTGCTTCTGGACACTGATGTCCCTGTGACCTTCATGGCTTCAGACTTCCAGATATTTCTGTTGTTTCAAAAAATGGCATTAGAAATATTGTCTGTTCCGAGAGAACTTGCTATTTCATATTTTAAAATTATACTCCCCAGCAAAACATTCTTTATTTGGGGAATCAGTCCAACTGAGCATTTCTCAAACTTCGACAGTTTTCACGATTTTCACCCTTTTCACGATTCTTTACCTGCCCATGTACCACCTGCATTTACTTGATATTTTTCTTTAAATTGACTACTTTTTAATTTAAATAAATATATTAAAAAACAGCATTATAGTGAATGTAGTATCAACATCCTTGCTGTAAGTAGAAGTCTGCACAAAACAACTCCAGCAAATAACACAAAAATGCTCATTAATGCTAATTATTATAAAGTCTTTGTTAGACAGGGTGATTGGCAAGTGTTAGCACAGGGCAAGATGCCTATTAATATCAAGGAGAGACTTGCGTCTGAACGTCACCAGAGGAATTGTAGTCAAATGGAAAAGGAGAGAACCTTGTACTGTGCAATGGATTACATCCTAGGACGGTGTCCATGAACCACACAAATTCATTTTGCACATGTTGGTACATTGCACACTGACCTACGCATGTCGCCTTTATGTCGGCAGAGGCTGAAATATCCAGTTGGAATAAGGACTCAAACACGGCAACGAGAGGCCAGGTCCTGTTCCCCTTTAGTGTCTGGCACATGTCGAAGAGAATCTGCTCAGAATCCAAGCCTAGAGCATCTTCGACTATGGGTTAGTGACCGGAAATATTAGGATTTTCTAGTGCTTCTCTCTACTTTTCAAAATTTTCACAAGAACAACTTAATAACTAAAACTTAATTTAAGGAAAAGAAAACAAAATCTCCATTTCATTTCTCATGAGATTGTAAACTGCAAGGCAGTCTATCTGCTGCCATCTTTTCGATGCCAAATACTTAACACAAAGTATTTAGCACAAAAAAACTGATTAAAAATATCATCACATGTGTGAATCTTCCCCATTTTACTTCCAGATAGAGCTATTCTTTCTGATTGGGGGAAATAAGGCAAGGCATGATTTAGGTTTGTGATGTAGTTTTTAGTTTCTCTTAACTATGTTATTTTTATAATCTACTGAAGAAATAAAGCCAGATAATGTTGAAAAAAGAGTGAAACTAAAATAAATGAAATTCTTTTATTAGGAAGATAAATGTCAAATAGTCCTGCCTTTTATTTTCAATGGGAAAAACTTAAATTTCAAAGACAAACCAACATACCCCGATAGATTTCAAAGGTTAAGATAGATAAAGTACTTGAGGCTTAGTAGCTTGGAAGCTTCCCGAAACTGGATGGTACAGAGAGATAAAGAAGTGGACACGGCTAGCATCTCAGCCTCCTGAGCACACAGGAAATAAATGACACGGGGAACAGCGCCCCACCGTGTTCACTGGCCACGTCTGTGCCTGACATGGCGTTATTTCGTTTAACCCTTGCTTTGTTTCCATGGGGTAGGTGCTGTTAGTATTTGCGTTTTGTACATTAGGAAACTGAGACTCATCCAAGGCGACTGAGACTCAAAGTGAAGTCTGCCTAAGCCAAACTGCCAACCCTGAAGTAAGGGTTCCTCAAACACGCGCCACCTGCCAGCCTCCTACGCGCTTTTTGCCGTGCAGTGTGCACCGTCTGTGGCTGCCACGGGAGTGTGGCACTCAGGTTCCCGTGCAGGGACAACCTTGGGCTGTCATGCCCTCAGCATCTGGGACAGCATGGTGATGCTGAGGCCGGAGCTCCCCTTGGCTGCTCCCAGCCCAGGGCTGGGCCATTTCTGCCCAATGCAGGGCTCCCCGAAGGAGCAGTGTCTGCTCTGAGACACCCCCAGCTCACCCTACGCCTGGGCTGAGGGACCTTCTCCCGCTTCCCTCCCTCCTGTCCCAGGTCACAGGTCACAGGCGCCAGACTGGCACTGTGGCGGGCAGGCTCTCTCTCCCTCCTCCTGCCCCTCCCCTTTGTCCTCCACACTCATTCTCCTCCAGCAAACCTCTGCGCATCAATTCCGTCTTGCTCTCTGCTTCTTGCAGGACCCAAATCTACCATTACTTACTTAATATCAGCACCATTATTTATGTAACACTTTGCTTTTACTTGGGTTACTTTTTAAACATATAGTCTCCCCCTGAATAAAATATATATCAAATCAAGCTTAATATGCCAGTTCTATTTTTTCCTAATACACTTTAAGTTTAAATATACTGAAATAAAAATAAAACTGTTTGAATATGGGTCACCTAACTCATCTTCCTTGTCACCCACATATGTATATTACTTACTTGAAAATTGTCTCGTATATTATACTGCTGATAAAAGATTTTAAAAAATAAATCATCGGTGGTTGGTGAGGGAAGAGGATTTGAACTGAACGCCAAATGACATCATCCAGCGTTTTCACTGTGTTGGAATTTGTTCCTGGGCAGAACCGAGAATTTGGAAGAATTCCATACACCAGGGAAACACACGGGGAAGATTTCAGAAATCTCACTGGATTCAGGACAAGAGACTAAAACTAGCTCTCCTGTGGTGTCTGTATTTATCACCTGCCCAGCCCTGTGGGCCACAGGGCATGGATTTGGATGAAACTACTAAATTAGACTTTCCCACCTCTATGAATTACACTCCACCGCCCACCGCACACACAACGTCTTGTTCATTTTTTTGGCCACAACTGAAACAGGCAGGAGCTGGGAACATGGGGCAGCTGGGGCTTACGCAGCAATGATGATCGAGAAATAGCTCTGAGAATTACCCAGCCCCACCCAAACCATTTCCTTGCACTGTTCCTTAATTCTAGAGAGGAGAAAAAATCAGACTGTGGTTTGAATTTTCCTATCACAGCGCGTGGCGTGTACTTGCCCTGGTGGAAAGCTGGTAGACACGTTGGTTCGCCAAAACAACGATGAAACCTGGTGTTTCTAATGACTGATTATATCTGGCTGGGGAAACAGAGAGCCCAGCGCTCAGGGAAAACCAGGAGGAATAAATAAATGATTTTTGAAAGAAAATGAAATCATAAAATACCACAACCCTTTGTCATGAAGCAGAGTAATTCCAAGAATGAAAAGTTCTGGTTGTTCATTTCCCTTCCTTTCCCATGAAACACATGTTTATACCATTTCATTCTTCCCAGGAGTAAATCAGTAAGTCTTCAACTCAATGGATAGTTGAGTCATTTTTGGAGAAGAAAAAGAAACTCCATACGTTGTTGAATTCACAGATTGGCTCAACTGAGGTCATTGCTCACGTCCTCCCAGACCCAGGTTCTCTCCCATTCTTGAGAATAGGACTCACCTTTTTCCAGAACAGCTTGCTCAGAGGCAGAGAGGAGGGTCCCCCCTTTGGCTTGGCACCTTCCTTTGGTGTTTCTGAGGATGTAGGATTCTTGGCTGCCCCGTGGGTCTCCTGGGGTACAAAGTTGGCTTTGTCTGACTTGAGGTCTGCTGATGTGGTAGGTGACTTTTCAGCACCCTATAGAGTTAAAACAAAAATCCAAATGATCTCCAGATTTCAAAAGGTCTGTCTTTTAAAACATAGGCTGGGATTATGCGTGTTAATTTTATTCTTCAAACTTTTTCGTATTTTCCACACGTGCTGTGACTGTGGATTTGTGTTAAAAATCTTAGAAAAAGTCAAGATAGTTTCCTTTTTGGGAAAAGTATCTCTAGGCCATTACTTATTGTGTTTATGTAAGTAAATCATTAGGAGTCAAGGTGATCAGGAAAGGCGCGCTGCTGTTAGAATGTTAATTACTACCCAGACCACTGGTCTTCACGCGACTTGGATTAGGTTCCCCTCAGTAAAAACTGTGAACACGCACCCCCGATGCATGTCTATCTGTTTACATTCTAGACATATATCGTTGTACTACCCCAAGTTTGAAATTAAAGAAGGGTTAAAATAAACACAAATTAAAATAGGAGTTCTCCCGTTTTCCTCCCATACTGCACTTCGATTGCTGCTGGAGGCTCTAAGTAAGACAGCTGGATGGGGGCTCAGTGAAAGGACCTGCCGTTGGGAGAGCACCCACAAACCCCATCTCTCACGTTTAGATGTAGCCTCTCTATCTAAATTAGATGGGTTTGAATAAATTGTAATCAACTCAAAGCTTTAAATGTTATTCATTCAACTCCTGTTTTCTCTCTCTTTCCTCCCCCCTCCTCCTCTCTCCCCCTCTCCCCTTCTCTCCCCCTTATATTCCCATCGCTCTTCCTCTCCCCTGCTGAGTGGTCATGCTGAGGTCCAATTCCAAGACATTTGACTTCCTCAGTGACAGAGCTATCACTTCCCACACTCTGCCTTCTCCTGAGTCTGGCATAAAGGAAGAGCAAGGATAATGAGAGCCTCAATTTATGTTGACATGAGTGAATACTGGCATTGCAAATTTTAATACTTACTTCATCTGCTTTATCTTAAGCATTTACATTTTATGATATTTTGCTATAAGAGCTGGTGACATAAGCCCTTTTAATTCCAGGGATGTCAGATCTTTGACTACATTTTCTGACTAAAAGAAAAAAAAAAATCTAGCAGTAAAACCAGGATGCGGGAAATTGAGGAGGTCTTAGACTTACTTTTGAAGTTGGAAAGAGATTTAGAGGCCATCGTGCGCAATGCCCACATTTTCACGGACGGGGAAACTGAGGCCCGTGATCTGCCCAACATTAATTAAGGGGCGCAGCCAGCCTCAGGCCTGGACTGAGGCCCCTAGCTGGTGTTCTTTCCACACAGCACATCGCCTCTCCAAAGGGTGGTTTGCAAATAACATGAATTTGACCATTTGAAGCCATATGCTATTTGTGTGTGTGTGCTTTTTTGATAGTAAGAGGGAAACATTCTAGAACTTCAGAATCTGGGGGGCTTTTTGCTTTGTAACCCTCCTGTGGCTTTGGCTAAATGGCCTGAGCTCTATGACCTGGCAGCCATGAGCTGGACAGGATACCATAGCACCTAAAGCGTAAGTAGCCAAGCAACAGATTGGAGACCAAAACAGCGCCGGGTCGTTAAGCAATCCAGCATCTACTGTACTAACATCAGCAGGGCTGAGGATTGGCTTCCACCAAACCCTTTCTTAAAAATGGAAATAAGGTCAGTCCTCTTGGGAAGACCCAAATGGGGAGAGGGGCATTTCCGAGCATGGCAAAAACATTCTAAAACAATGCCCGGCCGTGTGTGCCTGTTGTTGTCCAGTGTTTGGGGGATGTGTGAGAAAGTTTGATTCTGAGGCACTGCCTGGGATGAGACCAAAAACAAAAGGATTCACATTCAGCTGGGGAAAGCTGACACCCTTATGCTTTAGAACAGTACAGGTGTTTCATTTATTAATTCCAGGCTTCTCCACTTTTTTAAGCTAAACATTTTTTTATAGGAAGGAAAATTGAGACATAGAGACATGAACATAGGCATTAAGCATAATTGGTAACCATTGTACTCTGTTTAAAGAGCAAAACCAGAAGATAGTATTTCATTCTTCAATTTTCTTGGATTTCTTTTTTTCTGTCCTAGGTTTCAATAAAATCAGGAAGAATGAGAATCATGTCTCCTATAGTCATGCCGCAAGATTCATTGATAGAGTATGGTTGGTCAATTTATATGTCCCTATTTTTCTATCTTTTTGTACAACAGGATAATAAAATGAAAATAAATAAAGAGTCCTCAGCATGGAGGTAAGAACCAGTGAGATCTACCAAACTACCACATCATGAGAATTAAGAACATTTGGGAATCGTCCCCTTATTCGACTTTTACATTAAAAAAAATAGATTGAGTGTAACTCAAGGCAAAACCCAAAAGCTCTTGTATCTGTATTACAGAATCCCAGAACTGGACACTTCCTCTCCACCTTCGCAGTAGTTTCAGAATCCTGTCCTAGCCTAACGTGCAACTCAGTGGCAGGGAGCGAGGACAGTGATTTGGGGAAGTCCTAGGACTCTCGAACTGGTGGTCCACTGAAGAGGGGGAGAGACTCTGGGTATGAAGTGAATGTCATCGTGAATGCAGATCTGGGGCTGGGGGAGTCATTTTACACCTCCAAGACCCCCTACTTACCAAAGTTCCAAGAGGGAGCTCAGCACGCTTCCTTTGTATGAGATCTGTGATGTCCCACTATTACCATATTACCTCATTGTCTCCTAATTGTTACCTAACACCCAGTACCACTACTTCTTAACTTTCTCTCTTCCATTGCAATATCTATCACTTACCCCTTTTTCTCTTTACAGAACAAAAGAAGCCTGAATGGATATTGAAGCGTGGCTCCCTAACACCTTTATGCAAATATAGATTCATCCATGAGAATTTTCTGTGGAGCTTTTATTTGCATACACAGTCCTGGGACTGTGAATCCAGCTGGGGAGACTGTTTAATAAGTTCGTTCACCTCAGTGGAGAATGGTTGATATTTTAGACAAATTTCTAAGCCTGCTGGCCCAATTCAAGCGTCTTCTTAGACATTAGAAGAGTGAAATCTCCCAAAATGATTCCTAGGGACATGGAGGTAGAATGTGTTCTGCCCATTCATTGTTTTGTTCTGCCTGGGTTTTTATGTGAGTTCAGTATAAGCTTAGTTAATATTGGCAATGGATGGAACAGACCCCAGAAAGATTAAATTGTTATCTTGAAGTTAGAAGAGTATTTCCCAATGTGTAGAAAGCATACTATTGAGGGCATTAGAGATGATTTTACATTGTACAGAGATATGGCATGAAATGACATTCAAATAGTGAAAATACTTTTCTTTTTTTCACTTCTCATTTAATCCTTCCAAGAACATTTGGGGGAAATTCTTGGTCTGGGGCTGGTATGTCTTTAACATTTCTCTACTGATGGCTAGTTGCCTTCCAATAAAGCTAGAAAGGGCATTAGAATTGGAGCTTGACACAACCAAGGCAACTAGAATGTAAGGTCTTTTTTTATTAGCCGTATTCATAGTCACCTTCCTCTTACAATGATTTTGCTTTTCCGTGTAGAATGTAAGATAAAGTTCCTTTTAAAGACGGCTTTCAGTCGGAAGTGAGTCAACGGCAATATAAAAATATCAGGTAAATAATAGTATATATGACGAAACGGTGAGGGCGGCATGCATGCTTTCAACATTTGGGAAATACTGGGTTAGAAGAATAAATTCAGAACCCTGGTCCACACTGGGAAGAACCTAGGCTGAGATGTTTATAACTATGGAGACTTTTTAAAACATTTACTGAAATTTGATTCACAGAATCTTGAATCCCCTTTAATGATCCCAACCACCCAGGGCTCTATCGTCAGGAAGCAGAGATGGGTGGAGACGGAAGGTGGGGGTGGGGGTGGGGGTGGGGGGGTGGGGGCAGGGACGGGGAGGGGTGCTGGTATATCATGTGGTAGAGACCAGGGTTCTCTTTTCGGCCCACCCCTAGTTTAACAAAATACAGACCTTATGCCTAAAGAACTTTCTAAAGGTGAGTCCTAGCCTGGGGCTATGCAGGTGCTTTTTCTTGGTGCCTTTTGCCTGGATCTCAGATGCCTTCTGCCCAGCTTGTCCATCACAGCCACTCTCTGCTTTGCATGCCTTTTGGGCAACAGCAGTCACAGCTTAGAACTTTGATTTCAAACAAAATCCATTTTCCCCATTTTTTTGAAGTGCCGTAAAACACTTTGATAATTAACTGCTAGTATATCACCTCCACCTCCCACCCCAGCCCTGAGACATCATGTGACCATTTATTTCTCTTTTTGAAACTCTCAGATGATCTGCTGAAGAGGATGTACACAGTTCATTTCAGGTACATATGGATTTACAACAGGGTGACCTAGTTAAATGACCCAGATTAACACAACCTCATTTGCTGCAAACAATGACAGGATGTTGAAACATGACATAAACTATCTGATAAAAAATCTAAAAAGTCAGAAAGATAATATAGTCCCTAGTTGGTGGTTTTAAATATCTAAGTGGTACTGTCACATGAGGAAGAAAAAAATACTTGAAGACAAATGGTTTATTTTTGCATCACAGAATCAGGGCAAATACTGCCACTAAGTGACTTTCATTCCCAAAATGAACCTCTTTAGTTGTGTTAGAAACTTCAGGGAAGTGGAATCACCTGCAAAAATCTCAGCCGATTTCCAGATGGGCAGATTGCCCAGGTAAAAGAAGATTCTCATGTGAGCCAGCCCACTCAGCCAAAGTGGGGAGAGACTAGACTGAAATAGTCCAGCTACAACAATTTAGAATTGTTGACTCGGCTTACAAATGGTGGAGAATTTTTTGTGGGGTATGTAGTGCATTAAAAATGTCCCTGGACCCAAATGGGGAGATGGACAAACCATAGAGACATTTTAAAAGTACAATTTCAAGAACTTCAGTGGAAAAGATGTTAAGGCAAAAGGTATGACAGCCAGGGCTGTAGAAGGCGGTCTGTTTGTGGGTGACCTGGACAACCTACATTCACAGAACCCTCTTTTGAGACCGAGATCCACCAGCAGGGACCGCCCAGCTCTCTGAGCAGGACAATGAGATTTTATCAGTTGCATCTGTTCAGTTGGGACCACATTCTGGATGGAGGAAGAGTCTTGGTGTGTGAGCCCCTAAATTAAGTGAGAGCATCAGGCTGCTTGGGAAGCCACAAAACACACCACCTGCCCCACTGTTTGTAGCCCCGTGTGCTATGTGACCTCAAACAATGCAAAACACAGACTCAAAAGAGAAACATTGGACCCACACATTCATTGAACTTGACCCTGGCCGTCTTACAACAAATGAATAATTTTATAGGAAAACACATGGAGATGCCTCAGGTATCTCTTTTTACAATAAAAGAGGAAAAAATTCTAGAGGAATCAGTCAACACCAGACAAATAAATCATGGTGCTGTCTGTCTTGCAGGATTATGGAAAGAGGGATCGTCTCCGTTTGAATAGACCTCCATCGTTTACCAGACACTGTCAAACTTTCGTTCAACCCTGGGTTGGGGAGATAGAACTTTTTACTGTCCCCATTTTATAGATGTGGAGGTTTGGGTTCAGACAGGTTAGGATTACACAGCGATTGAGGAGCAGGACCAGCGCTCAAAGGCAGGTCTTGAGAGATGAAGTCTAGGACTCTTTCACAGCTTAGCCCTTTCAAACATGGGCAGCAGATGTGTCGGGCTGACCAAGACACTTCTTGGGTCCTAGAGTCTTTCAAAGCACTTTCAGATACTAAAAGAAGGACACTAGACATTCAGCTGTCACCAAGCTAAACTTTCAACCATGTGATCCACTAGACATAATCGGTTTTGTCAACGGTAAAGGGAAAAACACCTCTAAAGAGCAGTCATTCCAAACAAAATTTATTTTGAAGGGAACTGGCTGAATTTCCAGGCTGAACACATCTAGGCTATCTGGGACACTCTAATTCCCCTACATGGTCTTTAATTTGGCATGTCCACTGTGACTATGTCATTTCACCACATAATTGTCTTTGCTGTGGAGAGTTATTTTTTTCAAATGACATGAAAAACAATGAACATATTTTTTTTAAAGCCAAAAATATAGCCTTTACTTTTACTTTAAATTGAGTCTCACCTCTTTCTCATTTCCACAAGTTAATTTTTTCTCTATTTCCTGGGTCTCTCTGTATACAACTACAAGACTAAGATGGTATACAATTATTAGTATTCTGCTCTTATTCTGTATAAGAAATTGGTTACTGTGACATTATTTGGTCAGAATTGGCATGTATTTCAAGCTTCCCACTAAATTTTTTATTAAAATACCATTAACATAAATGAAAGATTGTAAAGACAATCTGATAGCACTATTAGATTGCTAAATCTGTATATATGTGCATACGCACGCACGCATACACAAAATTCCAGAAATGATGAAGCACACATCAGTTCAAATCCAATTCTACACACAAACCCAAACATAAACACACTTCAAACTACCTACCGTGTCTTCCAGATCTTTTTTTGTTTCAGCTTTGTTTGGTGAAACCTTAAAAGTTTGAGAAAATCAAATGTTAAAAATGATAGCTCTTTCTTTCGGGTGATTTTATTTCACAGATAGACAGTGTTTGGGTTATCCCAGTAGTTCACTATATAGGTAAAGAATGTAATCAGAAGTCCTTTTAGTATAACAGAAACCCACAGACTTCTGGTATATACCTAGGCATACAAAAGTTAACAAAAATTAATGTTTTATAATGAAATGCATCCGATTTCATACAGTCACTAAGGGTTTGACCTCATTCAAAAATTGACTCATGGAAGGCCACAGACTTTGCATCGATTCTGCCACAAACCCAAACACATGTGCAACCCTTTGGTGTTTGTGGTGATCCTATTGTCTTATTTGGGTTTCTCTTCTGAAGCTGGCCTTTGGAAATAGCCCAGACACACTGGGAGCCATCTGCTCAATGTGGCTTCATTCACCAGCCCCGTTCTGGGTGCCAGGCATGGGTCAGGCTTCAGGCTACGGGCTCTGCCCGAGGAATTGGAGATGAACAAGCAATACGAGACATGGGTCCCTGCCTCCATCCAATTCAAATGGCAGAGTGAGCCGGAACAGAATAGAAAATGGTTTCTACAGTTTTATTTGCCACCTGAGCATCAAAACTGCTTTGATAGGTTAATACCTCAAGGAAGTATTCTCCAGTTATTTTCATGATCCATGATCACCCAGTTACAATAGAGCTCCATTACAACCCAGCTCATGTTACGGAGTTTGGGTACCGGTGGTTCTCACTTCCGAAGTCTCTCTCCTGGAAAGCCACAGCTTCCTTCCAAAACACACATCTTGTTACTATCCTCCAATGTTCCAGCTGTGTCACTCAGAACAATGACACTCAAGCGTGCATTACTTTTTAAGAAATTGTCATTTATTGACTTGAGAGAGAGGTGGATTTGTTCCATTTATTTATGCATTCATTGGTTGTTTCTTGTATGCAGTCTCACCTGAGATCAGACCACAATCTCGGTCCCACACCCTTGGCGTGTCAGGACAATGCTCTAACCAGCTGAGCTACCTGGCCAGGAAGTGGGCATTATTCTTAGAATAACAAAACATTTGAGCAATAGAATTGAAGCAAAAAGGAAGAAACAACTTACCAGGGTTTTAAAGAAGCTCATGATGGAATTATTATTCTCAGTTATATCTGTTGTCTGGGGGTCCCCCTTGGCAATCTCCAGTTCTTCGGGATCCCTAGGGATAGAGCAACTCACGGGAGTGACTTCCTGTCCCTTTTCTTTGCCTTCAACTATGTCCTAGAAGCAAAACAGAGTTTTCACAGTTGCAGCTTGTTGAATGTGGACTCTCAAAGTAATATTTTTGCTTCGCAGCCCCTTTCTCCCTGGCCCCCTAATTCCAGCCATATTTCATCTGCCCACGGGTGTGTAGAACAATCAGGAGCTTATGAGAGCCACTCTTCCTCCCCTCCCCCTCTTCCTAACATATTCAGCATTTGCATTTAGTTGGAAGGACATTGTTTGGAGCCCAAGGGTAACAAACACAGCCGTGCATGTCGAATTCCAAACAAAAACCCTTTTCTCCCAATTCTGCAAAGAGGTTATGTATGATGTCTCCTAGTCCAGTGATTTTCAACAGATGCGCTACGAGAATTTTTAAAATATGCACTACCTGACTATTTAGTCAGGGGCGCTGACCTCTTTTCCCTTAGATTGTCAAAAAGAATGACAACAACCAGCGCAGCAATAAGCGTCCAGTATAAATGTATCAAAATTAGACCTTATTTTTTTTGTCAGATAGGCAAAAAAAAAAAAAAAGATAGATTTTTTTCTTGGTGTGCCATAGAATTTCAGTAATTAGTTGATGCAGGCCGTGAGATGAAAAAGGTTGAAAATTGCTGTGTGGGTCTGATGATCCCCTGAGATGTGTCTATTTGAGTTTTCACTATCTACACAAAGGTGAATCATATCAACAACGAAAAAAGGGCTTATATTTTATTTTAAAATTATCATCATTTTTAATCCTCACCTGAGGGTATGTTGACTGATTTCATAGAGAGAGGAAGGGGGGGAGAGAGAGAGAAAGAGAAATTTCAATCGGTTGTCCTCCCATAGGCATTCTAACTGGGGATCCAGCCTGAAAACTAGGCATGTGCCCGGACCTGGAATCGAACCTGCAATCTTTTGGTATATGCGACCACCAACGCTCCAACCAACTGAGCCACCCAGCCAGGGCAAGTACTTATATTTTAAAATGATAATCATGTTGTCAGGATCTGGTTGTTCATTGGTGCTGGGAAGGCAAAACGGGAACTGAGTTTCCCCACTACCTCACCCAGAGGAGCTGGAGGCATTCTGAACCCGTTCTGTCCTATCTCTACTCCTATGCCCCTGGGTCAAGCCATAGCCATCTCTCCACCCTGTGACTGCGACAGCTCCCACCCACCCCCCCTGCCGCCACATCTGTTTGGGCTCTTGGTCCCTCCAGCCCATTACTGACTCAGCAGAGGACACCCTCCAAAGGCTTCTGATGGCCCATGAAGTCAGGACCTCCCCTGTCTCCCATGGTCTGGCCCGTGTCTACATCCCCAGCCTCTGTACGCGCTCTCTCGTACACTCTACACTCTCTAGCCACCTTCCTTTGAGTTTCTCAGACAGAACGCAGGCTACTTCCAACCTCAAGGCGTTCAGTCTAGAACATTCTTCCCCTCTGTCTGCCCCTGGTTAATTTCCATTCATGCTGCCAGTCTTAAAAAATCTCCCCTCTCCTCCCCTCACTGTCATCTCTAAAACTGTCCCTTGCCCTTTTCCTTCTTAGCTATTACAACGTCTTTTCTTTATCTGCTTGGTAGGTGCCCCTTTCTTCTACCCCTGCTAGACCGGAAGCTCGACAAAGACTGGGGTTATGTCGGCTTTGCTCGCAGCTGTTTCTTCAGTAGCGGGGACAGAGAGGCACATAGCAGGCATTCAATAAATATACACCATTCAACGACCTAATAGATGAAAGGATGCAAATAAATTTTATATAAATGGGATGGTGCTATCTGTATCAACTCATTTTTCCTACATAGTAAAATAGCACAGACACCTTGTCATTGAAATACAGTTAGACCTGCTTCATTCTTCATGGCTCACGTGGGGTCCCCCTGTCCAGTTGTGACATTACTTACTGCCTAGTATCCTTATTGATTGGCAGTTAGGGTACTTATGGTCTGATATCTAGGATGTTTTAAACAGCGTTTTTAATTAATCATGTGTTTCTGTATTTCCTTTCAGTAAATTCCCAGAAGGGACATTTCTATATCAAGAAGTATGCAAATTTTACACTCTCATAAATATTTTCATGCAAAAAAGAAAAAAGCCAAACTTCCACTCGGAAGGTCTTCTAGGTGTGACTTGGGATCTGAAAAGCTTTCTGGTTCATTGGTAGGGGTGGCAGGTGGCACGTGACATACATCCAGGGCAGGCAGGTCAGTGCCTGGGGCCTGGGGACTGGACAGTGGGGAGCTTGCTGGAGGCGGGGAAAGTAAGAGAGAGCTGATTCTCCGACTCCCCCCAAGATACAAAGAAACCAATAAATGCACCATATGACGCAGACAATGAAGACGGCAAGGGAGAAACTCAAGAAGACAAGGGAACAGTCTTCTTTAAGAGGCAGTGTGTGGGGATGCAGCGGGTCAGCATCTGTCCTGGAAAGTCCCCAGCCCCTAGGCTGGGTCAGCTGTTCTGAGCTACTCTGGTCTCACAGCTCGTAGGCTGGGGCCCGGTGATCACAGGGAATGGAAGCGTCTGCATCTAGGTCCCCCTGCTCCCCGACTGGGCGTTTCCTAAGGGAGCAAGAGGTCACGATTCTTCCCTGGTCCCTGGGCTAAATACCAGGGAACATTTATCGATATTCTTCCAAATAATAAGGAAAACAGGAAAATCAACTGAAAAGGAAATGATTTGGTATAATGTCAGGTGATCTGCATAGATGAGGCTGGGTCCGCATGGACCAGGTGTCCATCAGGGAAAACCTGCCGGGGTAAGTCTCCTCTGAGCAGGGGAGGGGACCCTTAGTACTTCTTCCCTGAGGAAAGTAACTCTAACCTGAGGGGGTGCAGTTCCACAGAACCCAGGAATGGAGGAGCCTTCCAGCCTCCCATTTGCCCTGGGGCACCTTCTCAGCCACCTGAGGATGCTTGAGGCCTCTGTTCCTTTGACTCCCCAGGGCAGCGGTGTCCCAGGACTTGGACGGAAAATGAGGGGTGACCGGACTGGCTCAGTGCAAGGAGGTGGTTTGTTTCCCTGGGGCTGTTTCTGAGTCAGAGTTTTATTTTTTTCAATTTGATACTAAGCTTGAATTGGATCCCTTTTCTCGAAATACTGTTTTTCTTTTCAGACTGCCTTTCAAAAAAAGAACATAATACTTCCACTTCTAGGAAGACAGAGAATACACACTTTTCTTCACCCTTCTGCTAACCACAATGGAAAATTCCCGACGTTAGGTAGAAAACATGTGCAAAGGATTCTGAAAGGGGGAGGGGAGCGAACAGACCACCTGGGGACCCCAGGGAAAACACGGCGGCAAATTCCGGGGCTTCCTTTTTGCCTCGTACATTCTAGACTTGGAGCGGAAGAGGCTGGCAACCTGAAAATACTAACAGGAACTGACCAAAAAAAAAAAAAAAAAACAACAAACTTCTCAAAAAGACTACTCTTTCCACCAAAGAGTCAGACTGGCAACATAAAGTTTCAGACAATAAATGCTCTGCTTCAGCCAAACACCGAATATGTGAGTGTACCATAATTTCAAGATGAAAAAGTTTTTAAAAAGGCATTATAGGGTAGTGTTGGAAGAGTAAGGATGAAGACCCCTTAGAAAGTCTGGAATAGGTAAATAAAGCAAGTACATGGTATTATCATTAACATGTGAGATTTACCCATGACCACATGATGGAATATTTTGCAGCCATGAATTCTGGAATGTATAATGAGAAGGAAAAAAAAAAGTCCATGGTAATAAGAAAAATTACCACCTTTTATGTGTCAGGCTTAATGCTAAGCTAGTTAAAAAGATCTCATTTAATTCTTAGAATGATCCCATGAAGTATGTACTATTTGTAATTTCATTTTTATTGATGGGTAAATTGACGCATGAGAAGAATAAATCACTGCCTACAGTCACAGAGTGGAACTGGGATTTGATCCTACACTCAAATGATTTCAAAGGCAAAACAAGCTTTGTTAAAGCACCCGCTGCATGGCTTCAAATGATTTCCTGTCCTTCAGCTCTGTCTTAAATATCATCTTCTCATGAGAGGGTTTCTTATTTTAATTTCCTTTGTCTCTGTTCCTTTTTCTTGTTATATATTTTCCCATATATAAACAAATACTTACGTATTTGTTGCCATCCTTATATAACACATTTTACCCAAAGACATAGGGGAATTTAGTGAATAATAAAGATGATACCTCAAATCTATCAAAGGGAAGAAAGACTTTTTAATAAGTGATGTAGGCACAGCAGGGTGGCCCTCTGGAAAAAAATAAAATAACTCACTGTCACCACTCAACCTTATAAAATTCAAAGGAATAGAATTCAAAGGAATAAAAACACTAGAAGAAAACATGGAAAAAAAAATCTTTTACAATTTTGGATTGAGAAGGCTTTTGCACTTCAACTCAAAATCCAGAAGTTACAAAAAGGAAGATTGAAAGTGGAAACATCCAGATATTTGGAAACATTCAGCTGGGAGCCTGGGGCGAGACATTGGTAGCCATTCAGAGAGTGCTGATTGGGGCGTGAATTAGTTCAGACCTGACGAAGGCTGACGTTTTGGCGTTATTGGCCAAAATTTACGAAAAGAGTATATATTCTTTTACCCAGCAGTTTCACTTCTAGGAGTTAATGCTAAATAAACCTCAATTCACACATGTGTGAAATAACAAATACACGAGGTTCATTACAGTGAGGTCATAGCAAATGTCTAGAAACCCGCCAAATGGCATTAATAAGGTCCTGGTTAGATAAATGACGGTACATCCATTCAAAGGAAAACTACGTAAATGTTGCCAAATAAGGAAGCTGTACAGCTACAGGAAGTCGTGCTCTCTGTACAGAAAAGGAAAGCAGCATTAACCAGAAAAAAAAAGTACAGAATAGAACAGTGTATATGATATTGCCTTTTGTATAAAGAAAAAGAAATAAGAGCTTAATGCTTGTATTTACTTGTGTACACCCAAAGAAACCATAGAAGGATACATTAAAAATACAAACAATAATTATCTATTGGGGGGCACTGGTAGACAAGTATACC